TATGTGTATATACATACATATACACTAATGCATACATATAAATGCACACACACACACACACACACACACACATATCTTTACCTAAAGTTTTTATTTCTCTTTTACAATATACTGAGTGTTCATTTTAGTGCAAATTTTGAATCCCTCTCTCAATTTTAAATATACCTCATAGCAAGCACTCTGGAATATAAATAATATTTTTTCCTTAGACTCTTATTTGGAATGGTTGATCCCAATAATTATAACATAGTAGGTTCATTTGGGGTTAAGCATTGTTTGAAGATCAGAAAGTTGGGGGTCTCATGTGGAGACTTGGGTGCATGCATAGAACATTCCTCTTCTCATAGTATGGAGTCAGCAAGCGAGGCATTTGGGGAAAGTTCTGCTCAGCTGTGAGGCACAGAACACAGAACTCAGAGATGACCTACACCACAGGTTGGTTCCCTCATATCCTCACCCTTTAAGACTGGCAACTCAGCCTCTCTGACCCTTACTGGGCTCCCACATGACAGCTGATTATCTCTGTCAGTTCTATGACAGCAGTCTCAATGCTCCCAATGAGCTCCAGGTCAACAGGGAAGTAAAACAAGAACCATTTCTCATCAGCCAGAAGGAGAACACATACCAGCTCCTACTCAGGCTTTCTATGAGGCTTTTGCCACCATGGTCCTGGGCACATCCATTGGCAATTCCTAGGATGAGGAGCCTCCTCTTATTCTTTCATGATAATCACTCACAGCAGCCATTATTAAAGGGTCTCCAAGAAAACAAGTTCTGATCTCCATCAACATGGGACACAGAATTGCTCAGCAATGAAGTTCGGTGGCTGAGGTGACTGGTCCAGTTGTGGCTATCTCAGACATCACTCTGAGGAGACTTCTGCATCTCTACAATCCTCACTTTTCCTGTATCCAGGAGATTCAGAACTGTGTCCTTCTGTCATTAGTCCTCACTGGGAATCTCTGAAATTTTTATCCTACACTTTTCATGTAATTCTTATTGAAGTGTAATAGACATACAGTAAACCACAAATATTTTAAGTGCTCCATTTCCTATGTTTTGAGATATTTACATACATTTGAAAACCTCACTAAAGCAGGTCACTGAATCCATCACTTAACCTGAAATCCTCCTTATTTCCCCTAGGAATCCTCCCTCCACCCAGGCCAATGGCAGAATCCTAGGTAACCACTTATCCACCGTAAATAACAATGGATCAGCTTTTATTTTATGATTTTAAACAGAATCATACAGTTTATGTTACTTCATATCTTAATGGTTTCTTTCACTCTGGAGACTCCTTTAGAAACCTTGACACGCCTTGTTGATCTGTAAGTGATCCTACAAAGGACACATCTTCAAATTTGCAGTCCCTGAGCACTTCTGCCTGGAGGGCCCTTCTCCTATAATGTATGTGTATTAAAATTTTATTTGATGAAGCCATCTGAATAGATGTAACCTATCTGTAATCTTGCCTGGATCACATTCATGTTATTTCTGACATTCAATAAATTAATATATTTTCTTGGGTTCCTAAAAGTACAGAGATCTCTGGGCACTGTTTCTTTTACCTCTGAAGTATGCTCAGCACTGCTTGCATCTTGTTAAATTTTTAAATAATATTAAATAAGTAATAGTCTGCGAAGTTCAATTTGATAAAAACTGCCCCACCTCCTGCATCCTCTCTGTGAAATTTTTTCTTCCACATGGAAGGACTCCTCTATCTCCAGCACTTTCACAGAGCCCCTCTGACATGAGCAACATCCTGGAGAGAATAGGGGCAGCCATGTGTGTGGACAGCAACAATTGAAAGCAGAAGGAGACTCAGTGCAGGGACAGGTGGGGACAGGTTAGACTTCTAAGTTATGCCCAAGTCTGCACCTATACTTTCTCCATGGGAACTATTTGTAGATTATCTTATCTGTAGCCTCTCCAAATCAGTTCTGAGATTAAACGGGTGGGGTAATTAAACAGTGGCTTTAATTAATGTGTCCCTCCACATGGCATAACAGCTGATGTTCCCTGTAGTTATAATCCACCATGTGACAGACATTCTGTTTTCCAAGAAGACCTACAGCCCATGTAAATAGGATGGCAAAAAAAGGCCAAGATCTGCAGTTGAGAAACGTCCCTTGTTATCTACCCACTGGCATGAAACAGACTAAGACTGAAGCACCCATGACAGAAAATACATTTTGGGAAGAAATATCAGGTGCTCTGAGTGTTGTCATCCCCTGCTGGGCAGGAGCTTCCCCCCGGTGTTTACAAAGATCACTCAAGACATTCAGAGCAATAGAACTCATCCCCTGGATGCAAACTGGAAGTATAGTATAGATGCCTGATAAATATTAAAAAAAGGGGGACTCTAAATAGGGTATGGTCTGAGTTAGGAAGGAACTAGCTACACTGGGAGGTCCCTTGAACAGCCATCCACTGTGGGACAAGGTCTCTGGTGTGAACTACAGGGAAGAGACCCAGCTTTAAGTCCTGCTTCAAAGAGCAACCTGAGAGTGTCTGTGTAAACATTCCTCAGCACCAGGACAGTGCACAGATTGTGTCATTGTTTCCCAATATCAGGGTGCTTTTCACCTGCAGAAAGAATTCTACATCTCCTTGAAGGTCTTCTTTACTACCCTGCATTGGCCCATAATGTAATCACTGGCCTGTGCCACTCCTGGAAAACAGGAGTAGAGCTATATCTTGCCTTGTAATCTTTTTCTGACTTCCTACCACCTCAATGAGAATTATCCCAACAATGCTCCTTTATGGTCTTCATAAAGGAATGAAAACATGCACTCTGAAATGATTACCCATCACCTGAAGCAGACAAAGCTGAGAGCATAAATTTAGCCTAGTGGTATTAATTAACTGATTTGTGGTTATTTGTTACTTAAAATCATGGATTATCCAGCCTTGTACAACATAAATTTTCCAAAATTATGCACCTTCAACTCTAGTATAGATTGCCAAAATGTGTTTTCCAGTGAGTGGACAATTCAGTTTAAGTTCCCACTTGTTCTTCAGTGGATGGGTCTCAGGATTGATTCAGATAGGTGGGACACAAGTCAGACAGCTGGGAAACTGCTGATCCTGCTCCAGTGAATGGGCAGTGTTCTCCTTGATATGAGAATTCTTACATCTTTGACTCTACCTTATCCACATGAACCTAGGTACATTCTCCTCAAATGAACATGGGTTATTTTCCAGGATACCTCATATATTAAGCCACAAGTCCTACAAAGGCCAAAGTCCTGTCAAATTTAACAGGAGGAAATGCTTCCTAACTCTAATCTGAAGCTAGATGTCCTCTCCCAGCGGAATGATAGGCAATGCTAGAGAATGCTAACACTTACTGAAAATAATATAGGATCTCACAATGGAACATTTTTACTGGGAAAGCTTCCCAATTTTGACATTCAGAATGTTTTGAAGGGCTTTCTCACATAGACTTAGTTGGCCATTCTTAAGACAGAGTTTAAGATACAATGAAGTGGCAATAAAAATTTTATCCCTACATCTTTGAATGTTTTCTTTTTTTAATTCTCTAAAGTACTGAAATAATTCTCACTTAAACCAAATGTACATACAACATGAGGTTCAAAATAGATAACTTCATGCATCAGGTGGTCATGAAAACAATTGTCTTTATTCATTCAAAACATGCAGGTAAGGTTAAGACCATGCAAACATGAAATTGCATTACACTTAAGGAAGGATTTCAACTAATGCTAGAAAAAATGTATGTGAACAGGAAAAAACAAAGAAGAGACAAGCAATAAATGTGAGTCAGATTGGTAATATACTGGCAATGTCATAAAAATAAATAAACAGTTATTTGTTAAATGATTGAGATTACATGCCTTCAGACAATGAAGACAACAGGAAAAGTTGTGCATATTCTCAGAGAACTTAAGATATATAATCAATGTACTGGATCACGTACCACTGCTTACTGGTCCATGAACAATATTACAGCAGTTGCTTCCTCCCATGAGGAAAATCCACAACATACAGCCTCCCTGGTCCACTTCTGACAGTGTAACTCTCAGGGACAAGCACCAGGCAGGGAAGGACTTGGTTATAGGTTCATGTTGGCATAATGCACCACGAAAACACCCCCATGGAAGAGAACACTCCTCTGATAGTGAGAAATTAGGGTAACTACATACAAAATATGAGATTCACTATATTTAGGAATCAGACTAGGAATATGTGGATAGAGCCGGTGACCTGATGAGTAGCAGAAGCCAAACCAGCTAGCTAAGCTGTCAAGTCTCTAGCCCAGACTTAGTGTATGCACTGTGACCAGCAGGGGGAGCTGCAGGACTACTCTGTGGTTCCTACACTGCCAGCTGCTCAGTAAACACTGTTCAGTTGAAGGGATCCCTGGCCTGAGAGCTGAGCCCCTTGTTCACTGGTTAGAACTCACCAGCTGTGTCTTCTCTGGCCTGGCAAGGTTCCCTGAGCAAGGACCTTGGTCTTGAAACAATAGGTGTTTTCTCCCAACTGCCTCTCCAATAACCACTGACATCTTCTTTTGTGAAGTTACGAATTTGGTGAAGACATAAATGAAGTACAAATCACTTCCCCATGTTTAATTTAGTAATCCATTGTCATTTTGTAATGCTTTTCTCATTCATTCCTTTCCATTGAAGTCAATGTAGATCAGGGAAAGACCTGCTGTAGTATAGAGTCCATTGCTGAAGCCCTCTAGAAAATACCAGGGCACTGCTGGTCAATCTATTAAAAATAAATAAATAAATAAAATGGCAGCTGGATCCTGGAACATTGGCCTCCAGGCCCTGGACCTGGACAATGGTCACTGGTGTATGAAACCTCAGTAGCTGTGAACTTGCTGAGTTTCCCTTGGAGAGGAGCTCATTTAAATAAGAGTTCCACCCTATCCCCCACCAAACAGGTGTCAGGAGTTATAATAAAAGCTGTGGAGCTGCCTGTGAAGTGAACAGACTTGATAAGCTCAGCCCTGGCCTGTCTGAACCATGACCTGGGCTCCTCTCCTGCTGATACTTCTGGCTCACTGCACAGGTCAGGGGGAACTTTCTGGGCTGGAATTGGGGGTGAGGAAGGCAACCTTCATGCCACAAATCCTCTCCTGATCATTGGGTCTCTCTGTATTTAGCCTCCACTTCCCAGGCTTTGGTGACTCAGGAAACCTCACTTACCACAACTCAAGAAGGGACAGTCACACTCACCTGTGGCTCCAATACTGGGGCTGTCACCACCAGTAACTATGCAAAATGGATTCAACAGAAGCCTTACCAGGTACCACAGGGTGTAACAGGTGACACCAGTAATCGGGTTCCTGGAGTCCCTGCCCGTTTCTCAGGCTCCCTGCTTGGAGACAAGGATGCCCTCACCATCACAAGGGCCCACACTGAGGATGAGGCCACTTATTACTGTGCTCTGTGGTTCAGCAACCATTTACACAGTGACACATACAGTCTGACTCAGACTCACTCTTGGTCCTAACACCTCTCTTCTTCTGACAATGATTCTGCATTGACCTAGTGTGGGCTGAGTACACCTCTTCTCAATTGCTCCAGAAAATGACATCAAATTATTGTTCAAGGCTCCAAAATGTTTTAATACATATTTAATCATAAAGATGTATTCTTGAAAGTCAGTGCCTAACTCTGTCATATGTTGCACAATTATAGATAGAAGTGGCAAAAATTACAGACACATACATGTACACACACACACACACACACACACACCCTGATTTCAGCTTAGCAGCATTTTGTTTCCAAGAGAAAAGTTTGGTATTACAGTGATACAATGCACAGTTATGACGATATGTGTATAAAGATAGCAGTGGATTATATAAGTGAAATGTAGGATAAATATCATTGAAACAAGGTAACATTACATGTTCTTCTCATCACATTTTTAGAAAAAGTATAAAATGATCTAAAACGAACAAAAAAAAGATCCAAAGGAAAGTGATCTAAAATGCACAGAAATGATCCAAAGGAAGGAACAGAGGTAGATTTCAAAATTTAATATGGAATGTAAATTTTCAGGTAAGTTTACCTGTACATGTACTTCAGCCAATGCAGCTTCTTTTCTCAATCTTAAGCTAATTTACCAAAACTCATCCTCCCTGTGAAACCTGAGTCATTGGGCTGAAACCCTGGTGCCTGTGCTTTCAGTGAATGCTCCCCGGGAGACTCCACAGGACCCTGCAGTGTGTGCTGAGGGCTCTAAAGTACAGATTTGGAATTGCAGGTTGACTTGCATGTCACAGGACAAAAGTCTGCAGGAGAGGGCTGTTAGGGGACAAGACTCATACCTCTTCAAGTCAACCCTATTATCCATGTGAATTATCTGTATTCTTCTCTCCAAAAATTCCACTAAAAGAAATTCTAAGCTAGGGGATCTCGTGAGAATCAAAGGGAGATCACTAGAGTAGAAGAATAGGACCAAAAGAAGAAGGAGGGAGGTGAAAGGGAAAGGGGAAATGCTGAGGAATGATATTGATCAAAGTATATCATTATATTGTGTGTGTGTATGAATATGGAACAACAAATCCAGCCATTGTGCACAGCTATAATGCACCAATAAAAATATGGAAAAAAAGAAATTTCAAAATTATATTTGAAATTATAAGAGACACTTTAAAGATATTTTAGAGGAGAATAGTTTTGATATATTCTGCCAAACCATTTAGATATTTGAGCATACAAAGATTACCCTTATTTCTTACAAATTTAGTGGAGTAGAAACCCAACATTCATGTCTTCCAAAGGGTATGCCATCCCGTATGACCCAGTCCTACCTTATGACAGAAGGGGGTCATCTTTTTCAGAATAACGCACTCTAGAGAAACTCCTTAAATCCCATGTACAGGAGAAACCCACCTACTGATTATATTATGCCTCATGTTCTCTAAACTCGATAAGTTTACCAAGTTAATCCAATGAATCACCCTTCCCTACTTGTTGCTTGATATGATGTTGAGATGCATCACAGATCTTTTTGAACTAGAGAAATAAAAATAATACCCCAAAGGAAGCTCTCACCCAGTCAAGCAGCATCCCCCAAGGTACCTCTCTGCTTCTTCCCCCATGGTGATAGGCTCCTGAAACCTTGTATTCTTCTGCCATGTCCAGTTTTTTAATCCACTGGTTACATGGGGATGGCTAGAGGGAAGATAGAAGATAATTGGTTAATAGATTTAATGATTATTGGGAGGAATCTTATTCTAAGCTTTATGTGACATGTGCCTTCTCCATAGACTGTTCCCTGCATTCCCCCATAACAAGCCACACTAGTTCTCATTGACATCAATCTAAATTCAGTAGACTCAATAGAGGTAAAACAGCAAAACTATGAAAATAAATACTCCTAAAGGCCACACCACTTTCCAGACATAAGAAGGTTAGAGAAATTCAGACACCTAACATTGACTCCCTGCCCACCACATCCTGGGGCCCCTTCTCTACTTCTCTCAGGGCAAGGCCGAACCCAGGGTTCAGTATGTGTTTCAATTAGCAGTACTGGGATGCTCAGCCGTACCTGTGTCTTATATTATCATATTATCATATACCCTAGTCTATTTAACCAGTACTGATAATTTTATTAAATTTTATAAAATAAATTTACATTAATAATGAGATGCAAAATAAAAATTAGTTAAAAAGTACTTCCTATTCCTCCTGACCCTTTTTTTTTTCATCTGTGGCCAGTACTCTTCTACCTCCAGCAAATCTCCCAACTCAGTCAATGACAAGAAACATTGGGAGAGAATGTTGTCAGATTCATCTGCTGACAATAATTGCTACCCCTGCAGGGTACTCACTGCTGTGATAGATGGGGAAGGTGTGGCATTCCGTCTCTTCCTGTGGAACTATGGGAACTTCTTGGAAACATGCCTGAGAAAGCATTTCACTTTATTCGGCCTGTGGATTCTCCAAATCAGCACTCTGAGAATCAGTGAGTTCAATAAGTTAAATGAGTGACTTCAACTTGATATGTCCTTCCCAATCTTGTTTCAGGTGAAGTTCCCAGGAGTTATGTCCCAACATGTGGCACATGCTCCATCTTCAAAGGAAACAATGATACATCTACGTAAGAATGCACACCTGGGAAAGCTGGGAATGGATCCACCATTTGACCCAGCTATCGCCCTTCTCGGACTATTCCCTGAGAATCTTAAAAGAGCTCACTATAGGGATACTGCCACATCAATGATCATAGCGGCACAATTCACAATAGCTAGACTGTGGAACCAACCTAGATGTCCATCAATAGATGAATGGATAAAAAAAAATGTGGCATCTATACACAATGGAGTATTACGCAGTACTAAAAAATGACAAAATCATAGAATTTGCAGGGAAATGGATGGCATCAGAGCAGATTATGCTAAGCGAAGCTAGCCAATCCTTAAAAAACAAATGCCAAATGTCTTATTTGATATAAAGAGAGCAACTAAGAACAGAACAGGGAGGAAGAGCATGAGGAAAAGATTAACATTAAACAAAGACGAGTGGGGGGAGAGAAAGGGAGAGAGAAGGGAAAGCATATGGAAATGGTAGGAGACCCTCAATGTTACACAAAATTACATATAAGAGGTTGTGAGGGGAAAGTGGGGGGGGAACAAGGGAGAGAATTGAACAACAGCAGATGAGGTAGAGAGTGAAGATGGGAGGGGAGGGGATGGTGGATAGTAGGGGATAGGAAAAGTAGCAGAATACAACAGTCACTAATATGCCATTATGTAAAAATGTGAGTGTGTAACCGATGTGATTCTGCAATTTGTATTTGGGGTAAAAATGGGAGTTCATAACCCAATTGAGTCAAATGTATGAAAGATGATATATCATGAGCTTTGTAATGTTTTGAACAACCAATAAAAAATTAAAAAAAAATTATACCTCAATAAATCCAATATAAAAATTGAAAAAAAAAAGAATGCACAGATGTGAAGAACTAGGCTGACATCTTTCCTGTTATATATACTCAGGGGCACAAAATGGGTTAAGGCTAAAGCAGTTAAGATAAAAAAATATTTTTGGAACACACATCAGGAGTTCTAAGTGCTACTCCACCCCACATAGAGGTTCCTTTCATTCTAAAACCTAGTAAATTGTATTCAAGGGACATTCATAGAGATCAGACTATCCCCTATTACCATGTGGATTGAGAGACACTCTGGACAGATACTTGAAGAACATAAAAGAATACAGAGCTCTAAGCTGGAAGTGTCCTGAATGAGGCTATAGAAGTGTCTCCTCAAATGTTTACATGTCATACAATGTAGGAATTTTCAGTGGTGACCTGATTAGATAATGATATTATAAAACTGATGACACCCAATTTTGGACTTGATAATTTGAAAGGACTACCTAGTGGTAACAGGGAGAGATGAGGTGTGGCTGGAGGAAATAATTCACTTCTGCCTTGTTCCTGGCTTTTTATGCACACAATCTGTCTTTCTGCTTTCTGCATATCACGAGATGTGCAGCTTTCCTCCACACCACACATTTCTACCATGATGTTCTACCTCACCTCAGGCCCAGAACAATGGAGTCAAATGATCATGGACTGAGACCTCTCAAACCATAAGCCCAGATAAATTTTTCTCCTTTAAGTTGTTCTGGCCATGTATTTTGTCATAGTAATGAAAAGTTTACTAAAACATTCTGTATGCCCACCACCTGTGAAAATAGGTTTTGTGCATGCTACTTTTTCCCTCTGGATCTGATGCCAAACTGTGAAGAAAAGCACACTGGAAAAGCTTTATAATCTTCCCATTAGAGCCACTAGTCTGGAATGGTTGTGTAAATTCAACAGGCAGGATCATTTGTATCATAAATCACAAATCATTCTTAATCTGGTCTCTGAAAATTGAAGTCATTTCCAATGATTGGTGTTTAGGAACATTGATGGGGTGAACCATCATAAAGGTGTTCAGGTTGGATGTGGATATGTTGACAAAGGCCTCTTCACCTGGAATGTGTGCAGATTGTATCACTGTTTCCTCATATCCAAGTCCTGTTCAGTGGTAGAGTATAATATTTGGTTCCTTAAAGTGTGCTTAAGACTTTGTTTGCCCAATGAAATGTAATTTCTGGATGCCTGCTATACTTCCAGGGAGTATGGTTAAGATCACCTTGAACCCCTCACCTTTCATTATGCCACCCTGACCAGACTTATACAAAAGTGTAACATTTTCTTGACTTTAGGAAGTGAATGACACTGAGCACATGCAGAGTGATTGCCCACACATGGAGTGGAAAACATACATGACCAAGAGATTAGCCTCTATGGACTTAAGTCATTGAATTCAGTTTAATAATCAGGATTATACTGCCACAGAGTAGAATTGCCAAGACTATGCAGCTTCAATTGGTGTAAATATGGCCAAAATATATCTCCATTGAGTGGACCATTAGATAAGGGGTCGAAGTTGTTCCACAACAGATGTTTTTGCAAGATTATTTGTGAGAGGAGAATGCAAGGGA